ACAATTTTTAGCATTCTTGAGTATTGATTTTTGCTCATTTTTTTGATTTTTGCCAATGGGGGCGGGGGGGGGCCAATGGGGCGGGGTCGGTTGGGTTGTGTTGTTGAGTTTGGGTTGATTTGGGTTGGTTTCGCTCATTTTTTGCGGTATTTTTACAATTTTTGCATTTTTTACAATTTTTTTTAGTTTATTTTATTTCTGACAAGTTTTTTTTTGATTCTTTTTTTAGAACTTTTTTACAATTTTAAGCATTTTGTTGATTTTTTCTCATTTTTTTCAATTTTTTCCAATTTCGGGGATTTTTGTTGATTTTTATGACGTTTATTTTTGCTCATTTTGTTGATTTTTGCTAATTTTTTTGATTTTTGTTCATTTCGGGGATTTTTGAACTTAGAAATTTTTTGAATTTTTTGAATTATTTTTTTGCATTTTTGGATAATTTAGGACATTTCCTGCAAGGGTTGGGATTTTTTTTTTTTTTTTTGATTTTTTTTTGTCCCTTTAAAATTTTCTGTTACATTTTGTTGATTTTTCGTTTTTTGGCCATAACTTTGGCCATAAGTTTGAAGAGGCCTTTTTTTTTTTTTTCAAAACCACTATTTTTTTACGCCCTTTAATTATATCCAAAAAAAATTTTTGTACATTTCGCCCCCCGGGGGGTCATTTTTATTTTTTAGTAAAGAGCCCTTTTTTTATTTTGCCATCCGATATAACTTTGGATATAGATCATTAAGTTTTTATGAACTTACCCCCTCCAATTCGCCCCCCGCCGAGAAAATGACATTTTATGAGGAGGTTGGGTTTGCTTGGGTTGCGTTTTTTTCAAAGTTTTTGTTTTTTTCATTGAAATTTTCAAAATTTTTTTTTGCTTTTTTGGACGTTTCAGGACATTTCCTGGGGGGGTTGGGTTGCAATTTTTTTTTGTATAATTTTTTTTAAATTTTTTTGGGTTGGGTTGGGTTGGGAAATAGGTTTGGTTGGTACAGGGGCGACGTCTAAAAAGTATGTAACTAGGGTATTTCGAGGACGGAGAATCGATTTTTGTGGTCGAGAGCGTTCCATCCCCCCCCCAAGACCCCCTTTACTGATGAATTTTTTTCGTTTTTTGGCCATAACTTTCTTATGAAGTTTGAAGAGGGGTTTTTTTTTTTTTTTCAAAACCACTATTTTTTTACGCCCTTCAAATATATCCAAAAAAAAAATTTGTACATTTCGCCCCCCGGGGGGTCATTTTTTTTTTTCAGTAAGACAGGCTTTTTTTATTTTACCATCGGATAGTCCTTTCGATATGGATCGAAAAGTTTTTATGAACTTACCCTCTCCAATTCGCCATGCACCCTGTATATGAAATTTTATGAAGGGGTTGGGGTTGCGATTTTTTTTCTAAGTTTTGGTTTTTTCATTGAAATTTTCAAATTTTTTTTTTGCTTTTTTGGACGTTTCAGGACATTTTAAGAGGGGGTTGGGTTGCGATTTTTTTTTTTTTTTTTTTTTTGAATTTTTTACAAGTTTTTTTTGAATGTTTTTACGTTTTTATTCTTTTTTAGAATTTTTACAAGCTTTTTTGTACAATTTTTGCATTTTTTACAATTTTTTTCTTAAAAGAATGAGTAAAAATTTAAGTTTGCAAACAAAATTATCATTAAATAAAAGTTTAATTGCCCCTCATATTCACTATTGCTCCACAATCTTATCTGGTTTGCCATCCTATCGTATTCAAGAAATGCAGTGTATACAAAACCGCTGTATGCGGACGATTGTGTCCTGTAATAGGTATACACCAATTAAAACAATGTTAAATGTTCTAAACATTCAATTTTCTTAGTTTCTTTAAGAAACTTTCTTGACCCATCACTGGTAATATTCATAAGAAAAAATTGAACCTACACCTCGCCAAAGATTTTTGTTTTGAATGTTCTAAATTTAATGTCCGTCAAAGATAGAATCTTATTTAATGTATTAATATTTATTTATAAAATTAAAACCAAAATGTTGCCGAAATATTTACACCAAGTGAAATAAAGTATTGTGATAATTTTAATACGTTTAGAAAATTGTTAACTAAATCTATTATCTTAAAACACTAATTGTGATCCCCATTAATATATTGCATTTGTTATACAGTTTTATCTTGTTATTTTATTGTGTTTTTCACCATATAGGTATTATTCCGTGTTATATTTTTATGTTTTACTTTTTTATTTATATTTTTTTCTTTATGTAATGTTTTTATAGCAAATCTGCTAAATAAAGATTATTATTATATTATTATTTTTGTTGGAATTTTTTTACAACTTTTTTAATTGAATTTTTGTTATTTTTTTTAACTTTTTCAATACGCACTCTGATATGTG